TTGGCTGAGGCTCCTTTACCACTAGGGGCGGGCCCATTATCCTGGGGGCGGGGCCTGAACCTGAGGACGGAGCCCGGCTGGCCCGGGACCTGACGGAGGAGGGGAACGCCGCCTTTTTTCCGCCACCCACTCAGTTGTGGGGTATCCTGGCGGACTCAGATATTACTGCTGTATTCTTAATATAAATTCGGTAACGCTAAACTGAAAGTAACTCACTATGTCCTTGAGCATAATTTACCCCTCTGAGGACCATTTTCTCCCTGTATTGTGTAAAATGAGGCTCAGCCATCCCTGGGAGAACTGGTTTCCACCAGAGGGCACAAGTCTCCCTGTCCACCCTTCCGCTGAGCTTTCAAACTGCCAAAACTCGGGTGGGGCGACGGGAAACCTAACAAGCGCGGGCTGATGGGCACACCCAGATTGAATGCTGAGATTTTGAACCCCAGAACGCCAGAGCGTAGTTTCAGATTACATTAGCTCCCTGCGGCCTGATTATCTATGGGTCAGATCGGATTTGTTAGCTGCCTTGAGAATGAAGTTGCAGAGAAGAAGCACAGAACGTGTTTTCACGGTCTGCCTTTATCTCCTGGACTGAGCATAAACTCCCTGGGAAATTAAAACGTAGATAAGCAATTAAACTCCAGTCTAGATTAGGACTACGTATTTGAGTTAGGTCCAGACTGCTTCTTAACCTTGAGTAACCTTGGGCACGTTGTTTTGCCTCTCTGAGAGCATTTGTTTTCTGATCTGCAAAATGATGCAAATGCCCTATACCTCACAGTGTGGTTATGAGAATTAATGTAAAGTGCTTAGCATTTAGTAAATGCTCCACTGATAATAGCAATTATTTTTTTCTTTTATTGAGTTTATTGGTACATTTTAGGTATACAGTACAATTACATTCATTATTGGGATCTTGTACCTTTACGTGACAGGTCTTGGTTCTCATTTTTTCCCCTTGTCCCTGCCCTCCCTTCACCCCCTCCTCCCCTCCCCATTTACAAACTTTATTTCCATTTTTTTCATTTTATCATATTTTCCCCTTATTACCATAATAGCAATTATTTTTTTAAAGGGCAACAAACTCTTGTGTTACTGAAAAGAATGGATGAAAAAATCAATAAGTAAATTTTATTGATTAAAATTAAAATACTAGAAACCAAGATACATCATGTGAAAGTGCAAGAGCCCAATGATGAATGTAACTGTACTGTATACCTAAAAAGTACCAATAAGCAATCAAAAAATTAAAATGCTAAATATCTGGTAACCACTTCCAAGGAGCTCATATTTCTAGTGGGAAGTAAATAGCCTTGGTTCCATTCATAACTGTTATGTTAAAATATCAGATAAAATTAGGGTGGAAGAAAGTCTGCAAAAGCTAAATTAGTGTGTGAACATCATTCATTGCCCAGAGCTGATTTGAGGATAAAATCAATTTCCAGAAAATTTACAAAGATGAGAAAGACAGGGAGAGAGAGAAATCTCCTTGATCATTTTACAGCTAAATGTGAAGGGTATGTAGAATGGTAGAGGAGGAGGAAGACTGGAGAGGGGACACCCAACAGCTAGCCAGACACTCCAATTCCACAGGACCTTCTTTTTTCAGTCTTCCTTTGTAAGTAGGGACCATGAAGGAGAGAAGCAGACAGGAAGCTCCTTGGACTGGAAGGCTTGTTTAATGTTGTAGTTGCTGTTGTCAGACCTGACAAATCCATGTTTGCCCTTCACAGACAGGTGTTGCCAGCCATGAAGTTGTGGGGATCTGCTGGTTTCCATAAGGTCTCACAAGGTGATAGTACTTTAACGTTGACAGTTCACTCAGGATATGCTAGGACAAGGATTCAAAACTCATCTTTATTCATGGAAAGAGAAAAATGGAATAGCTGAGTAGACTAGGTATTTATCTCAGCAGGCAATCTCATTTTCTCCACAGTAGGAAAGTGTTCTTGGGAAACCAAAACATATCGAAAGGCTGCTGCCTGAGTTTACAGTTATTAAATGGAAATAGGACGGCTGTTGTGATGAAGAGTGCCTGTCACCTTGAAGGGTGATATCTTCCATAGGGATGCTGATGGAAACACAGCCTCACCAGTTAACAGACCTGCATGTCCAATAGAATTTCCGGCAACTATGGAAAGCTTCCTCCAGCCGTATTCCATATGGTACACTGACCACATAGGGCTGAGTCCTTGGAATGTGGCCACAGTGATTGAGGGCCTGAGTTTTAAATTTTACTTAAGTTTCCTTTAAAACCTGATTGTTGGTTCAATTATTAGAAAACATTTTAATATGTTAGGGACTACCTGAATACCCACACTTAATTTTTCAATTGTAAATTTTATGAAATCTAAATATAGATCAAATACTTCTGATGAAAATTTTGTGTCCAAATTGACATGTGTGATATACGCAGCAGATTTCAAAGACCTAGTATAAAAAAGAATATAAGATGTACTAATGTTAACATATACATTGGATGTAATCATATTATCTTGGATGTATTTAATAAAATATATTAAAATCAATCTCCCTGTTGTGTTCCACTGTTCCAAACGTAACTGCTAGGAAATTCAAAGTGGTAAATGCGGCTCACATTGCGTTTCTGTTGAATAGCACTGGTATGCACACAGCAAAGTTTCTTTAAGCACAGAACATTTTTTTTCTAGGTTTATTTGGGAAAAATAAACCTAGAAGGGGTGTGGCTTAGTGGTTGAGTATTTTTCTAGCATTCATGATGTACTATATTCAATCCCTAGCACCATACCAACACAGAATACATATTAGTACTGTACTTTGTTAGAGAAGGTCATATTCACGCCTCTTGTTTTGTGTTTTGCATGATGACAACACAATGATACCAAATGTTATGAAATACTTTATTTCCTCCTGTCTCCCACATGAACTCAGTCACTGCCAATTACTTTTTTAAAGAAATGAAATTCAGATATACTATCTACAGTTGAACCTCCATATTCATGGGCTCCATATCTATGAATTTAACTGAGGATCAAAAATATTTGAAGAAAAAATGCATCTGTACTGAGCATGTACAGACTTTTTCCTTTGTGCATATTCCCTAAACAATACAGTATAATAACCATTTATATAGTATTTACATTGTTTTAGGTATTATTAGTAATCTAGAGATGATTTACAGGCGGATATGAATTGGTTATGTAGAAATACTGCTCAATTTTATACTAAGGATTTGAGCACCCATGGATTTTAGTATTTGAGGTGGGTCTTGGAACCAATTTTCCCCAAAGATAACCAAGGATGACTATATTGTTACTTTAAAATAGTGTTTACCATTGTGCAAAACCTTGTAATTAAACTACTTAAAATAGTATTTTAGTTCTAAAAAGCATTTTACATATCAACTGAAATAATTCTTCAATAACTATTTCAGCAAACCATTTTAACAATGAACAGCCATCTATCTGTGCTCCCATTTGAAAATTGCTGCTAGGTAATATGTGGCTAAGGTTCTCTAAAACTGGAAATTGATTAGGATGTCAAGAATTTATCTTCCTCTACATTCTCTTTGTTCCTCCAGTCTAGCTTTTGTTTGTGTGTTTGTTTGCTTCTAATTCTCCCCTCTGTTCCTCCACATGCTTTTTTTCTTTCCCCCTTTTGCTCCAGTGTTCCAGGCACAAGCTAAGGCTACTCACAGAGATTAATGCAGAAGTTTAATTAATGAGAGAGGTGAGGAGTCATGAAATACAAACATACAATCTCAGCTGATGTGAAGCTGGACGTGGAGACACTGCATTTGAAACCTGGCTCAAGATTTTAATTGTTCTGGGACTGAATTTCTTCAGCTGTGAAAGTGTGCACAGCAGTCCTAGCTCACAGCATTACTGAAAACATTAAATGGCTGATAAGCCATGTAGAGCATATGGCCTCCACTATTTGGGGAGCTCCATTTGGGCAGAATACGTCTGGCTTATTCTCTGCTAAAGCCCCAGTACCTAACTCATGGTCTGGCTCAAAATTTTGTAGAACAAATGGACACATTATTTATGAATAAATGGTGGTTTGTTTTTGTGGGTTTTTTGTTTGTTTGTTTGTTTGTTTGTTTGTTTGTTTAAACGGGGCAGGGGTGCGAGTGTTGCCAGGGATCAAACTCAAGACCTTGCACTTGCAAGGCAGGCACGGTGCTACTGAGCTAAATGCCCAGTAGTCATTTGGTTTTTTGAGACAGGGTCTTACTAAGTAATTCAGGCTGGCCTTGAACTCTTAGGGATTCTGCTGGGATTACAGGTGTGCACCACCGCACCCAACTCTTTAATATACTTTTCCAGTTTTTCCGGAAGGAAATATTTTGACTGGGAGCCTCTGAAGAACTCTGCCCTTCCATAAATACCATACACCCTAGTTCCTGAGACTTTCTTTGCCTGTCATAAAGCTTCCCCTTTCCTGCTCTCAATGAAACACAACTCATAGCTCCTCCTGGAGCCTGAGTCTCAACCCTATGTACTTCTCCAGAGAGCTCCTTCAGGCCCTGTGGATAGAAGCTCTGACTCCAGGCAACACCTCTCAGGGGATCACATTTTCTACCCCTTGTCTGTAAGTCATTACTTTCCAAGTATCTTAAATTTATTTTCCTCTTGTATTTATTTCTGAGGTTGGGGGTGATGTTTATTCCATGGCACAACCATTGAAGTTTAACAGAGTTCTGGTCCTCTGACTATGTGCTGAT